CCAGAAAGGTTTTTCATATTCGAAACATGGCGAGATTCCTTGCTCACACACTATACAATGAGGTATGTTACATTTCTTTGAGTTGGCTTCAGTACCACTATTTGGTGAAGCTGGGACGGTGGCAGCGGGCGATGAAACAGCAGAATCTTGACTAATATTACAATGGTTACTATTATTTAATTGTTGTTGTTGTTGTTGGTATTGTTGTTGGTATTGTTGTTGAAGTAGTTTTTTTTGTTGTTGTTCTAGTTTTCTTTGTTGTTTTCTTTGTTCTCTTTCTTTTTGTTTTTCTTGTTGGATTTGTTTTATTATTATATCTTTATTTATGTTGTGTATGTTATTTAAATTATTATCGTTGTTATTTAAATTATTTAACACTTTTTGTATTTTTTTATTATTGTAGCTATTTAAATAAATATTATTGTTGTTGGTGTTATTATTATTAAAAAGTGAATTGTTATTATTGTTAGTGAGGTTATTTTGGATTGATTTTTTATTTTGTTGAGGATATTCGAAAACAAAATTAAATGTTTTTTGTTTTTTTTGTGGTGAGTCGATTGTAAAATCCTCATTGGATTCGATTAGTTCGATATTTCTTTTAAATTTTAATTGGTCCTTTTCTCTTTCTTCCATTCTAATAATTGGTGAAAGATCTAAAAATGGAACCATTTGGTTTTGGTTATTGTTATAATAATTATTGTTATTATTATTGTTATTTATGAAGTTTTTGTTGCAAGGTGTGTAATTATTCATATTGTTGTAATGTATTATTAATAATTTGGATGATTCATTGGAAATGGATAATAGATTTTTTGAAGAATCATTTATGGATAAATGTGATTTTGTTGAAGTTTCCATTTTTTTATATTGTAATTTTATGTGGGTGGTGGTATATGTTATTTTATGATTTTTTTTAATTTGAAGATTTTTTTTTTATACAAAAATTTTTATAAAAAAAAAAAAAAAATTTAAGTAAAAAGAAAAAAATATTTTATTATTATTATTATTATTATAAAAAAAATATGAAATAATAAATAAATAAATAAATAAATAAATAAAATTAAAACAAATAAATAAATAATTTCTATTTGTTTGTTTTGATTCGATTTTAAAAAAAAAAAAAATATTTGAGCAATGCTTTGCAATTTATATAAAATCTTTTTTCGTTAAAAAAAAAAATAAAAAAATAAATAAAAGAAATAAAAAAAAATAATAAAAAAAAAAAAAAAAAAAACAAATTTTAATTTTCTTTTAAAACCAGCTACAAAAAAAAACTTTAAGAGAGTTCGCTCACTCTCGGTATTTTCTAATCTGTTAAAAAAAAAAAAGAAAAAAAAAAATATAAACAAATTACAATATAAATTATATATAAATGTAATTAGGTTGCAACATTTGGATCTGTCTTTTTTATTGAGGCTCAAACCATATATGGTCTTTCATAAGGCCATTTTTAAAAATATATTTTTAAAAAATTGTTTTAAAAAACTTTTTTTTTTTTTTTTTATTTTATAATTTTAAAATATTTTTTTTATTTTTCTAAAACCTATAATTATATTTTTTTTTATTTTAAATTTTATTTTTTTTTTTTAACTTTTTTTTTTTTAATTTTTTAATTTTTTTGTATTAAATATCTTGCGTGAATCCTTTTTTTGATTTGGTCTCTCTGCAAATGATGATATTCTGTGGTTAAAAAATATAAAAATACTTGTATGACAGATAATTACTGATATTGGTTTAAATACGGTTATGAAATTGATATATATTAATTATTATTATTTGCTTTTGTTGTTTGCACTACCATTATTATTAATAGAAGCATGATTATAAATGTGCGTTTTTTTTTTATACTTTTTAAGAGCCAGCAAAAACAAAAAAATAATGATTATTATTATAATAACAGAAAATTGAGTTTCTAGAGTTCCGGGAGGGTGAATATTATTTTTGTTAATTTTTGATTCATTATAATGTTGTTTATTATTATTAAAATTATTTCCTTTTTTATTTTCACCATCAGAATCAATTTTTTTATTTTTGTCATTATTGTTTTCACTATTTAAGTTGTTATAAATATTATTATTATTATTATTATTACTATCATCTTTATATTCGGTAATATAGGTTGAGTTTTTATTATTTATTTCTAAATTTATTATTTCTTTTTCCAACACCTCATTAAAAATTGGCCCAATATAGCACGTGATTTTATCAAACTGATAATTATTTTTGGGTTTGGAATTTTTCGTAAAAATTGAATTTTTGTGAAAAATTAATTTTGGTGTGCTGCACAAATCTTCACCTACATATGCCTTGAATGGATTCGCGAAATTAACACCATAAATTGTTATAACTCCACCATTTCTATTTAAACCACTGACATTTTTTATTTCTGATTTTAAATAATTGAATGATAATTTTTTTGAGCTTTCTATTATTTTTTCATTATAATACACTTTGACAATATTATTATCTCCATATCCATCAGGTAATAAAGCTATAATATTTGTGGAGTTTACTTGTATTTTGGAACATCTTTTTATTTTTCCATCACTTTCTATTATTATTTTATATTTAAATTTATTATTATTAAAATTATTGCCATTTAAAATTAAAATACCATTGTGGGTTTTAAATTTGGACAAATCATTAATTTTAAAAATTATTTGATTGTTATTATTGTTATAGCCATAGCCATTATTATTATTAAAATTTAAAAAATATTTTTCATGACTTATAATATCATTAACTATTATTTGTATATTTAGCTGATCATATTTTTTATTATTTATGTAATTAAAAATTATTTTATTATGATCAATGGATATTATATTTGAATCTATTATTTGATTGTTAATTATTAGTTTTGTTAAGTTGATATTATTATAAAAATTCGATCCATATAGTGTAATGGTGTTTAAATTATTACTACTATTATAAATTATAGGTTCTTGATAGTCAAAGTTATATATTTTTTTGAAATTTCTATTTAAAATAATTGAATGATTTTTCCCTGATCCTGGTGGTATCTCTAAAAAAATAGATTCAATTATATTTTTATTACTATCATTATGATTGCTATTATTATTTGTACTTTTTGAGGGTATTTGTTTTAAAATTTTATATTCATCGTTATTTCTATCATACAATAAATAATTTGAATCTAAAGACAAGTAATGGCCATTTAATTCGACCAATCCTCCACTGGTTGGGGGTGTAATTTTATTTATAATTAGGGGATATAGTTGGTGATTTCTATTTATTACTATGTTACATTCTGACTCTGTTTCATTTTGAAATATAATACATGAATCTATTGACTTTGCAAATAGTTCGTTTTTTTCATATAACTTCAAATCTAGTGTACAGTGCCTAATTGGTGATTTCTCTTCGCCATCTTTGACTATTTCACACATGAACGGCAGAGTTAGTGACTTTTTGCTAAACCCAATATCTTCGTATAACGTAATGTTTTTATAAAAACTTGAAGAATTTTCGGTCCTATACGTTATTTTATTTCCGTCATATTTAAAGTCTTTTTATATTTTAAAAATTAAAATTTTTTTAAATAAAATTATTTAATAACGTTTTTTTTATTTTTTTATTTTTATATTTTATATTTTATATTTTATAATTTATAGTTTAAAATTTATAATTTTAACTATTTATTTTTTTTTTATAAAATACTTTATTATTTTAAATTTAAATTTATTATTTTATTTAAATAATTTTTTATTTTTTATTTATAAGTTTTTATAATATTTACATTTTATATTTGGATAATCTATAAAATTACATTGTGTTATAAAAATTAAATTTAAAAATAAAAATAAAATATTAATTACTGGCATTTTTAAACATTTTTATTATTAATAAATATAAAAAATTATAATTTAGTTTGATAAAATAAAAAAAAATATTTAAATAATTTGAAAAGATAAATTTAAAAAAAAAATAATGTTTAATTTTATTTTAATTTTTTTTTTTTTTTTAAAATTTTTTTTTAAATTAAATTCCATTTTAAGGAAAAGATAAATTTTTTAAAAAAAATAAAAATAAATAGTTTACACACATTTTTTCACACAGACAAAATGATTTATTTTATTTTTAATTTATGTTTGATTGAGGAAAAAAAAAAAAAAATATAAAAGTTAATTAATTAACATTTAAATCTATATTACTACTACTTTTATCTGAGGGCGTACTTGAACCTTCTTTTTTGCCAATAGAGTTTGATTTTCTAGATAATGAAATTGAGTTTTCTCTTTTACAATTCTTTTTATATTCATTTAATTGAGTTCTTTGATCGTAGCTGAAGAAAATGCATACTGCAGGAAGAACTTCGGTTAATAAAAGACCTATAAAACTAAGGGCGATACTTGAGATATTTGTGGCTTCTAAAATTAAAATAAAGATAGAGTGTAAAAAAAATGTTACAGAGCAAACAATTGTGAGGACGAATATTTTAACCAGTTTTCCTTTAATTGTTAATTTGTTTCTTTTGATTGTCATGTAGATTGATGACCCAAGATAAATAAATGATCCACTTAGCACAAGAGATAAAAAGACCTGTATTACTGCATATAAGATTGATACTGTGGTTTGGGCTCTCGAGTTCTTTGCTTCTATTATAATTCTTGAGCCACATTCGTTGTTGGGTGTATACTTTGTTAGTTGAAAAACAATTACAATTGAAACGAATAAAATGTATAATACCACATTAACTATAAATACAATTGTATATAATCTTTTTGTTAAGTTGCCTGATGGATTGTTTTTTAAAACCAAAAAAATGATTATAAACCACAATACAATAATTAATGAGAACGCTGTAAAGTAAAGAAAGGTTGGGAGTACCACTAAAATATAGTCACCCACAGGGCTTGCTAATAATAGACCTTTTGGCATTATGAAAAAATAAATTGAACGTAAAAAGATGAATAGGGTTACAAATACAATTAATAAATGAGATGTATTGAGGTTCTTCTTGTCGATTCTTAGCTGCATAGTAATAAAAATAATTTGATAAATTCCATACAATGTTGTAACCAAAAATAAAGTTGCTAGAATATATAATAAAGAAACTGTTGGTGAGTCAAATACTTGTTTATCTTCGTTTTCCCAATCTTCTTTTCTGTTCATTAAAAAAAATGTTGAATTGGATTCAACATCGCTTTCTATGCATTTATAAGTTGTACCATTTTTATTAAGTTCAAAAATATCTGCTTCCATTGGATATGGTTTTATAGATTGGTTTGGTGGGATATATCCAAAGTCAAATACTGGGTATTTTGAAATTTGAGGATTTTCAGAAAAGATAAAACATATTAAAACTTGTGATAGTCTGTAATCAGATTTAATAATTATTCCATCAGTTAATAGTGTACCAATAATTCCTTCTTTTTGATTTAGTACACCATAGTTATCTGGCTTTTGATAGCTTACAAAATTTGATGTGAGGGTATCAGCTCTTGATGAAGTATAGGTTTTTTTTGAGAGTTGTGAAACGGTAATAACTTGGCAACCAGCTGAAACAAATAGGTTTGGTAATATAATTTTACCAAATGCAAATGATAGTGTTGAGTTTTCACCATTACACTGTCGAACAAGTCCTAGTAATGGATTGGATGAGGTAAAGCATTTTCTAGATGAGTAGTCTGATTCATCAAGTGATCTAATATTATTGCTATTACTGCTGTCATTTCCAGAATAATAATCGCTAAATGAACACCCACAAACTATTGAGTTTAATGTATTTTGATTTCTTTCTTTTTTGCAATAAGTTTGAGAACGATAAAGGTTTGCTATAATTTTACCGGTCGAGTCTTTAAGGTCATTATAAAAACTTTGATAGCTAAATACTTTTTTAATATCTCTTTGAACATATGTTTTGTTGGATATCCAATTTAATTGTTTATAAACCCCACTAAACCAAACTGCATCAGTCCAATTGAATTTATTTGCCCAAGTATTGAATGATTCATAACAAGATTCGCATTGATATTCATCCATTTCATTAAACTTGTAGTTGAATGGTAGGTTTGTAAATGATTGTTGATCTAAAATACGGCATCCCATTTGGGAGATACAATCTGTTTTATTTCTTGCACTGCCCCACCACTTATATCCTGGTTGGCTTTCACATTCTTTTTTTGAAAAATAAATTGGATCGACACTATAGCATCCATTTGGTGTATCATTTTCATCAGTTTGACATCCAACTACCCCTGTTGGTGATATTAGAGTATGTTGTCTAACACACTTGCCAATACCAGTTGGGTAATATATTGAGCTTTTCTGTGAGAAATAAAATGTATCCGAACACTCTCCTCCTCTATCTAGGCATTCTTGTTTGTTTTTACAGGCTATATCTCTTAAACGGCATTCGCCATAACACTCGTCTATTGGTTGTTTAGTACAGTCTCTCCATATATATCCGCTTGATACACAACTATCTTCACTGGTTAATGACAAAACTTGGCAGAAATGATAGCTTGGGTCCCATTCAAATTGGTCTAAAGATTCGTTTTTAGAATGAAGGCAACTATTCATACTATTATCATTTGTTACACAAATTGGTGATTGTAATAGACTGGTGCATTCTCTTGAGCATGGGTGTGAGCAAATACCATTTTCATTTTCACATTGTTCTTTTGTAACACCTTGAATATATTTCCCATTTTTTAATAAGCAAACTGATTTTTCTTCGCAAGATTGTTTTGTATTTTCGGTAGAAACAAAACATGCACTTTCTTTATTGTTTGAACAATAGCCACAAAACTCTGAGGGTAATGAGTCACATGCATCTTCACAAGATGATGTAGAGTTATACTCTGATAATCCATATTTAAAATTATAATTACAATTTAGACGAGGACAAAAACCAAAACCACTGCACTCCTTAATATCTATTTCTGGTTCCCATGTCCAGCCCGATACTTGATAGTCGAATGCAGAGTCATAATGGGTTAAGCATGATTCGTCCAAACACCCATTTATAGGGTAGTATCCATAATATGGTGTATCGGTTGAATATTTATATGTTGTTCTAGTTGGATAACTACCACCGCTAATGCAATCATCTGCTAAATGTTGATTATACTTTTCGATTGTAATTTCTGTTAAGTTTAATGATGTGGTGTTTTTATCACTAAAAGAATATAATACTGCTGGTGAAAGTTTATTGATGACACATGCGACATATTCTCTATCAAGTACTTGAATATCAATTAAACACCTTCTTGTATATAAATCACATTCTACCACTTCGTTATTTAAAGAATACTTTGAACAGTCACTATTGGTTAAGCAGTTTGGGGTCTTTGGTTTACATGAACGTAGAGCATTATATGAGGCCAATTGAATTTGTGTTGATTGATAAAATGGAACATCACATTGTTTGTCATCACTAAGATAGTCACCATATTCTTCTAGAGCAGATTTTGTACAATCAAAATCAATGCATTGGTCCATTACCATTTCTTTGTTAATATCTTGGTAATTTTGCACCTCTATTTGGACAACTCTTGGATTACAGCATTGATAATATTGAAGAGTTGAGTTGCAGCATGGGTCTAAACTAAATCTATGATCATTAAAGTGATAGGAGCATGATGATGTTGAAATATTTTTAACCATTGTTTTAAAAGATAATAAATCGTATGCTTTGGAGTTGCATGCTATCCAATTATCATTAAGCTCTAGCATTCCAAGTTGATATCTCCAATCGTTTAATTCTTGTAGAGTGGGTGTCTTATTTGGCTCTTTAATTGACCCTAGTGTGGATTTGTATTTAAGATAGTCGCATGAGTTTACTGTTATTTCTTCGAAACCATCTACTATTAAATTTAAAGGCTAAAAAAAGTGTTAGTATAAATTAATAAGTTTATTTATGAACCCAATATAAAATAATTACTCTTTTATTTGAACTCGAAATTGTGTTTAAAAATTCAAGTTTTGAGGACTTTGCATCCTCAAAAGATAGATATTCGTTTGAAATACCCTTTCCATTATTAAAAGAGAGCAAAAATGAAAATTGATAAGATCTTGGCCTAAAAGTATTATTGAGCACTATATCGTTTGGAGGATTGACACCATTATAGTCAAAATCAGCAGCATCATAAAGTGCTACAGGGACAGGGTATAAAGGATTTATATCTTGTCTTGGGTATAGAATTGAAAATGGTTTACAATCAGCAAAGTCAATACATAAAGAATACCAACCCCTTGGCGAGAGAAATCTTGATGATGATAATAATAAAAGAGCACCTTGTTGTGAAGACTGGGAATAAATACTATTTTGATAAAGAATTCCTTCTCTTGTTATTGTAAACGAATAGTTTGTTGGATTGAATGTGGTAACACATAAATATATTGTTAAAGGTTCGCCTTTGCTTTTTGGTTCCAAATGTAATGTTAAATAGTTTTCATCTAAAAAAATAAAAAAAATTAATAAAACAATTTATCTTTAATAATAATATCTAAGGGGATTAAAAAACTTACAAGAATCCTCTTTGATCCATTTTGCATTGTTTTTGTTTGGAAATTTGATTTGATCATCATCTGAAATATATATAAAATTGCCTAAAAAAATTGATGGAAATTGAAAGAAATAATTTGATGCTTCAAAAACCTGAAATGTATAATATTGATTTTGATCTTGACCATAGGGCTCACCAAAAGTATTTTCACCCTCATTTATACATCGATGTGAATCTAAAAAGTTTTGACACAAACTTTCTTCTGGCTTGGGTATATCGTTAGGCACTTGGTAGGACTTTAAAACAATTGTAAAAGTGGTTTGTACTTGCTGGGGCTCAACATATATATAATAGGTATCGGTAGTCCAACTTTTAATATAGGTAAAGTGGTCTTGTTTTTCCCAGTTATCACTTGGACAGATATTATAAACAGCGTTTCTTTGTAAACTTGAACCAGAAATGAATCTAATTAAATCTTTTGATGGTAAAGATCCAAAGTATGACATCGGAAAACCCTCCAATGGTGAAATTTTTAAAAACATGCCCATGCACTCTTTCGCATTTGCTTTATATCTAAACTCTATGATTTTATCGGTTGTAAAAGTTTGTTCTTTATCTAACTCCAATACTACCCAGCTATTTGCTGGTTCAGTTGAACTTGAATTGTCGAATTGATTTGATTTTAAATTTGATTTGGTTTTTGATGGGGGTATCACCGTGCTAGTTGTGCCGCCCAATCCTTTACACATATCACCTTTAAATAAAATATTATCGATTTTTTCTTCAAAAGTTGATGGGCATGGTTCGCATGCTGGATCTCTACCGTTCGTTTTGGGGCAATCACTTTCGTCCGTATAGTCGCAGGAGCAATCGCTTTCTCCCTCATTAACAATATCAGTACAGTTGTAATTCGGACATGCTAAACTATCGTGAATAAAAATTTCATCGTCAAATTCTATATCGAATAATGCATATGATAAGTCACTATTTAAAATACTAATATCTTTTTTTATAACTGTTTTTGATATAATATTTATAGCTTTGGAAATAAAAAATTAATAACACGATTATAAAAATTTAAAAATTTTAAAAAAAAAATAAAAAAAATAAAAAAAAAATAAAAATTAATAAAATTAACTAAAAGTTTATTTTCTTACCATTAATTCTACAAAAGTATAAAAATATTATAAAAAAAAATAATTTTGAAAACATCGTATTTATTATTTCGAATATTATTAAAATAAATAAAACATTTATCTATGGTTTGTGTTTATTGGGTTATATAGTTCTATATATGTATATAGTACAAATATTTATAAATACAGGAGCAGGTTTTAAATTTATATATATGTAAAATAAAAAGTAAAATAAAAAAAGAGAAAGAAAAAAAAAAAAAAAAAACTAATTTAATTGGTGATACACACAAAAATAAATGATATAAAAACAAATTTAACACTCCATTCCAATAAAGAGACCTTTTTGTTGGTTAATTAATTTATTTTTTAATATTTTATTTTTTTTTATTTTTTTTATTTATTTTGGTGGGGTAATGTGTTTAATATATATAATTTAAGTGGGTACACACGGGTGTGTATTGTTGTTAATTGATATTAATTATGATGTTTTTCTCTTTTTTTCATTTATATTGAATATACTTACATATTTGCCTTTTTTTTTTTTTTATCTTGGAATGAGATATTAATTTTTTATTATTTGAAATTAAAAAAAAAAAAATAACTTTTTTAAAACAAACCCCCGCAACCCATCCCCACCACTACATTTAACACACTCAAAATTAAAAACAAAAAAAAAAAGCTATTTTAAGGTTTTAATGATTAAAATCAATAGCACATTTTTTTTTTTTTTTTTAAACCGCTTGATTTTAGAATTCCAAAACAATGAAACTACATAAATTGACAATAAGATATTAATCTTTTTTCTCTTTCCATACTCGAAAAAATAATGGCAACATACATTTCTCAATAATTTTTTTGTTGTTTTAAAAAAAAAAAGGTTTGGAAAATAAAATATCAAAAAAAGGTTTTTTTTTTTGGAAAAAAATATTTTTTATTTTTTATTTTATATTTATAGAATATAAAATGAAAATAAAAATAATGATAAATAGTTATTTGGGAATTATTATATTTTATTTATTTATTTTTTTTTATTTATTTTTTTTATTTATTTTCTTGATGATCTTCTTGATTTACCTGGTCTTGAAGATTTACCACCACCACGACCACCTGATTTATTCATTTTACCACCTTTACCTTTTGAATAATCTTTATCTTCGTTATTTCTCTTTAAACTAAAGCCTGAAACATCATTTGTTGAACTTTTATCGTTTGATTTTGCGAATCTCTTTTTACCACCAAAACCATATTTGGCATCTTTCTTCTTTCTTTTATCTGATTTTTGTGATAATTGTGATTTTTCAACTTTCTTTTTATCTTTTTTGTTGTTATTAACATCATCAATTAAATCAATATTAAATTCATCTGAAACATTACCTTTTTCACGATCTGATTTTAAAAAAAAAAAAAAATTAATAATCAATATTCTATATATAAAACAAAATAATTAAAAAATAATTACTCTTTCTCCATTTCTTAACAGATTCGATAGCATCGGATTTTTGTTTTTGTCTTTCTTGTAATTTTTGAGTTTGAACTTGTTTACCGAATTTCTTGATTTCTCTCTTCTTTCTAATAGCTTCGGCTGTTTCAACTCTTTTCTTTTCTGATTGAAGATTGCTTTTAATCTTGAGCATTTGTGCATCACTTTTAATCATTTCAGCAAAGAAATCTGGTTTTCTTCTGACTGTTAAACCATGATCAGCACATAATTTTTCGCATTCAGTAACACTATGTAAGGTTTGTTTATAACTAAATAATAATAAAAAAAAACGTTAATATTAAAATTTGATAGCTATATTTGTAATTTATATTTAAACTAATAAACTTACAAGGCAATTTCTCTTTTGAAATCATCATGAACATCTTCGAGATCAAGTGATTGTTGAGAGGTGACTGCTAAAGTATGAACCCATGGAATTTTACCATTGCTTAATTTTAATTCTCTTAATTTATTATTAAGACCTTCCTACAGTAAAGTAAAGATTATTAGGATTTGATAAGATACTATTTTATGTTTTAATGTATAGTCTAAACTTACTCTATCATTTATAACGTATTTATTATTGACCAATGGTTTTGGTTGTTCTTTTTCTTCTTCTTCGTCCTCTTCGTCGTCTTCTTCTTCATCAGCTGATAAATCTGATGTTTCTGCTAATTCATCTTCTGGATTAAGTTCTCTAATCATTTCTGGTCTTTTCTTTGGTTTTTCTGCTTCTTGTTTTAAATAATCTTCAACTCTGGCAACACCTTGGAATACTTTTCCACTCATTTCAATTTGTTTACTTAATTTTTTAGTTGGAATTTGCATTGGTGGTTCTTCTTCTTCGTCTTCTTCTTCTTCTTCTTCCTCTTCATCATCTTGATCATTCATTTCATCAAAAAGATCATCAACTAATTGATCCTCTAATTCACCAATTTCTGCATCTTCGTCGATTTCATCGTCATCTTCTTGTTCGTCTTCATCTTCATCACCCTCTAATTCTTCTTCATCTTCGATGGCTTCTTCTTCTTCTTCTTCTTCTTCAAACTCTTCCTCATCTTCATCATCATCGAAATCCATAACGTCTTGATCATCGTCATCTTCTTCTTCGTCTTCATCAAAATCCTCATCGTCAAAATTACCGCTATTAATCATTTCTTGGAGTTGTTTCTTTAAATCAGCATCATTAAAATCTATTTCTTCTTCTTGTTTTTTATTTGCTTTCTTTGGTAATGGTTTATTATTTTTAATTGGTGTATTTGATTTTTTGGTGACTTGTTGTTGTTGTTGTTGTTTTTTAGCTGGTGATGGAGCAGCTTTTTTATTTACTGCAACATTTTGTTGTTTGGTTGGTTGTTGTTGTTTTTTAGCTGGTGATGGAGCAGCTTTTTTAACTACTTGTTTATTAGATTTACCTGGCATCTTTTTTCTTTTATACACAAATAAATTATTTTAAAATAAATATGATAACAATTAGTATTTAAAATAAAAAAAAGATACAATAAAAATAAAAATAAAAAAAAAAAAACTAAAAATTAAAATAATTTAAAAAACGAAAGCAAAAAAAAAAAAAAAAAACGAAAAAAAAAAAATTAAAAATTTAAAAAAAAAATAAAATTATTTTTTTATTAATTTTTATTTTTAATTAAAAGAATCATAAAATAAATATAGATACAATTTGTATCTAAATAAAACTTAAATCAACTCTATTATTTTAACTACGCATCAATGGATAAATAATATTTAAAAATAGGATCACACACAAACAAATAAAAACACACACACAATTCTAAAAATAAAAACACACACCCTAAAATTATAATATATTTCACTACACTATAGTTTTATTTCTGTGAAAAATAAAAAATTAAGTAATCATTCATCTAATTTATTTGAGTAAAAAGAAATAAAGTAGGGACAAATAAATTATTTATTATAAAACCAAAAGCAGTTTTTTATTTTTTGAAAAATTTTTTTTTGATTTTTTATAATTTTTTTTTTTTTTTTTTTTTTTTTTTTTTTTTTTTTTGATTTTTTTTAATTAAAAAATATTGTTTGGATAAAGACATACAATTGATTGACATAGTTTTTTTTTTCTTTAAAATTTCACTCATATACATTTAAAATCTGTACAATACATTAAAATAATCTCATTTAATAAATACATCTTTAAATAATAGCACCCAATTTTAATATATAATATATTAATTTTTTTTATCATTTTATTGATCAAATTTATAAAATACCTTAGAATAATAATAAATAGTATAGAACAGTAATAAGAAATAATAATAGTAAATATATTTAATAATTATATAAAATTTTTGTATTATAATCATTTTATTTTTTTATAAAATAAAAAAAAAAAAAAAAAATGAATTCAAGATTACCAGCACAACCTTCGTTGGTTACACAAAATTCGTTATCTCAAATTTTGTCACCTACTAAGCCAACAAGAAGTTCGTCAAATCTATCAGGTTTGGGACCAGAAGAGAAATTGGAAAAATTAAAAGATATTAGCAGTAAAACTATAGATACAATCATATTTAAAATTGCAGAAATGAAGAGAGAAAAACAAGTTTTACAAACATTTAAAGATATTATGAAGATTTCAGAAACTCTTATTGAGATTGAAAAGATTTTAGAGGATGTTGGAAACGAATCACCATTATCATCTTCATTAAATAATAGTTCAGAAAATCAAATAGCTCCAACAGGTTCATCTCCACCAAAAGCCTCATCATCATCGTCATCATCAACAGTTTCTGTATCAACCAATGGTGGTGTAACTATTAACTTATCAACATTACAGGGAGGAAAAGAATTAACAAACAGAGATCCAAATTCTACATCATCATTAGAGGCAGAGTTGATCCAAATTATTCATTCAAAATCTTCATCATTAAAAAAGAAAAGTATGCAGATTATATCTTTAAAAAATTATCTAAATTAATTAAAAAATTTAAAATATTAATTTTATTCTTTTTTCTTCAGACGAAAGATCAGTAAAAAGTATTGAATCTATGCATCAAATTATTCACAAGTGTCTTGATAATATTAAAGCAAAAATAATAAGTGTAAAGAAGAAATTGATTTTTGAACAGTCTGTAGCAGTTGTTTTACAATATGGTGAAATGATAAGAAATATTAGAAATCAAGTAAATACATTCAGAACTATTTCATTACCAGACAATGTAATTTTATGCGATGGTGAAAAATTATTATTAAAAGTGGATTCATGTAATTATCATTTATATGATAACTCTATCCAATCAACATCAGAAAAACAATCGGAAAAATCAACATCAGAAAAGCAATCAGAAAAACAGTCATCCAATTCATCTAATCAAAACAATAATAGTAACAATCATCAATCTTGTGAAATCGAGGATGAAATTATAGCCGGTTCATTATTTTTAACAAATTATCAAATTATTTTTTATGGATCAACAATAAAATCTGAACCTTATGTTGTAAGTGAAATATTTTATTGATTTTTTAAATTTTAATTTTTATATTAATTTGTTTTTTTTTTATAAATAGAAACATTTTTCTTTACATTCAATTTCAAAATTAATTAAAAATGGTAAAAAAAAGACATTGGGTGAATTTTCATATAGGTTAAATTTTATTTGCAAAGATTATAGAATTCATACAATTTCATTTGATAAACAAAGCTCAAGTTTGAAGGATGTAAGAAGGTGTATTGAAACATTCCAAAGTCAACCAAATACATTGTTTTGTTATTTAATGAGACAGGAGTACACTAAATTAGAGACTGTGGGTTTAGGATGGACTATATACTCTGCTAGGGATGAGTATGCACGTATGGGAGTACCATCACCAGATTGGAGGGTATCAGATGCAAATTACAATTATTTCTTGTGCGACAGTTATCCAGGTCTTTTAGGTGTACCAGAATCTATTACTGACGAACAGTTAAAGAGTGTTGCCCAATTTAGAAGTAAAGGAAGAATACCCATTCTCTCATACAGACATTGGTCCAATAAAACTTCAATTACACGTTGTAGTCAACCAATGGTTGGTATTGGTGGTAATAGATCCAATGAAGATGAGAATTTATTAAATGCAATTCGTATGACATCCACTGCAACCAGCGCAACTGGTGGTTCTACTTCAACTTCAAACTCAAAAGATAGAACATTATATATTTTAGATGCAAGACCCTATGCTAATGCTGTTGGAAATCGTGCAAAAGGTGCTGGTTGGGAAATTTTAAATAATTATCCTAATTGTGTTTTAGAATTTTTAAACATTGCTAATATTCACTCAATGAGACACTCTCTTTGGAAAATTAAAGATGCCGCAGCAAGTAGTATCGATAAAGAAGATGGTTGGTTTGCAGCATTAGAGTCGTCAGGTTGGTATAATCATATTAAACTGGTTCTTCAAGGTGCAACTAGATTAGCAAAACTTATTCATCTTCAACATAATAATGTTTTAGTACATTGTTCCGATGGTTGGGATCGTACTAGTCAACTCGTTGCAATAGCAGAGTTATTATTGGATCCATATTTTAGAACTATTAGAGGATTTGAAATTTTAATCGAAAAAGAATGGTTATCGTTTGGACATAAATTTGCACAAAGATGTGGCCAAGTTCATGGAAAAGATGAAAGTGAACAATCACCCATTTTCTACCAGTTTTTAGAGGCAGTATATCAAATAATTCATCAATTCCCAAGTAAATTTGAATTCAATGCCAATTTCCTCAAGACAATCCTCCATCACAGTTATAGTGGCAAATATGGTAACTTTTTATTCAACACTGAAAAAGAAAGGGTTCAAAATCATATCTATGGTAAAACCATCAGTTTGTGGGCTGAAATCGACTTAAATATAAAAGAGTATTTAAATCCATTATACCAACCAACAAGCATCAAAGAACGTGATTGTATTTTCCCTGATTGTTCCATTAAAAGATTCAAGGTTTGGAAGCAACTTTACTTTAATAACTCAGATTTGGAAAAGTTTGATCCAGAAGAGAAAATTCTTCATCAAATGCTTGAACAACAGATTGATGATAGAGTGGAGGCATTTAAGGAATTATATCCATTAAAGCCACGTAGATCTCACACTGCTTCACTTTCTTTCCAAACTTCCCCCATTAGATCTTCATCTCAATTAACTCTACCATCCTATGTTGGTTCAAACTCTATACCCACTAGATCCATCATCGATTTAGATAATAATTTATTAGAAGAGGATCCTAATTCAAAAGGTAAAAAAGAAAAAAAAACATCATCAAGATTTTTTGGTAAAAAAAAATAAATTAAAATAAAATATTAAAAAATAAAATAAATATATATAAAATTAAATAAATAATAATTTATTTATATTTTCAATTTTAAAAATCTTAAAAAACTAAAAAAAAAAAAATTATCTGCCTTTGGTTGCAACGCTTGTATGACTTTTTTTTTTTTTTTTTTTTTTTTTTTTTTTAATTTTTTTTTTTGTTTTTTTTCGGTTTTTTTTTTTTTTTTTTTTTTTTGATTTGTTTTCTCAAAAATTTAATTCTCGTGCCTTAAATTTTGTCAAATCTTGCTTAAACTTATTTTTAAAAAAAAAAATAATAAAATTTTTTTTTTTTTTTTAAAAATTTTATTTTCGAGTAAAGGTTTTATTTTAGTTTTTTGTTTTCATTTTTTTTTTTTTTATTTATTTATAAATCATAAATGATACAGAGTTTTTTTTTTATTTTTTTTATTTAAAATTAAATAAATAATAAACTAAAAATAGATTGTTTATAAAATGTTTTCTATTGAAAGTAGAAAATTAAAAGAAATGGTTCCAACTTGGGAAGAAATGATAAAAGAATATAAATATTTAAAAAATAAAAAAATTGTTATGGTTATTTTAATTTTTTTATTTATACCAATATTTTATTTTTTATTTTATGATAATTCCCAACCAATAGATGTATATCTAATCCCACATTCTCATTGTGATTTTGGTAAAACTGGTGATTATAATGTAAGTTATTTTTATTTGAAAAAATTTAATTTTTAAAGAAATTGATTTATTTATATTATTTTTTTTTATTTTTTTTATAAAAGGTATATAACAAAACATCGAAAATTTTAAATAATGTAATATTAGAGTTATACCAAGATAGAGAAAAAACATTTATTTGGGCAGAAATGTAAGATTCATTTTGTATAAAAAAAAAGATTAAAAAAATAATTAATTTTCATTTCATTTTTTTAAAACAGTAATTATTTTAGTAAATGGTATAATGGTTTAAATGAAGATATAAAAAATATAGTAAAAAAAGTAATAGATAATAAACAATTAGAGTTTGTGTCTGGAGGTTGGGTACAGAATGATGATGCTGTTGCAAATGTTGATGGCATTTTAGAACAAATCACCCAAGGTCATATATGGTTAAAAGATACATTCGGTTATACGGTAGAATATGGTTGGCAAGTCGATTCTATAGGATATTCATCAATAACACCAACTTTATTATCAAAGATCGGTATTAAAGGCCTAGTAATAAATGGGGTATCTGATACAATCAAGACATATTTGAAGAAGGCCAAGTCTATGGAGTTTATCTGGAGAGGTTCAGAAACCGTGGGTCTTGGATCAGAAGTAATGGTAACACTGCTAAACGATGGATATGAATATACAGAGTCTTTAAACCCAGACTCAAAGATCTCAATGGGTCTAAGGGTGTCCCATTTTTTAAAGTATTTGAAGAAACAAGCAAAAACAATAAAATCAAATCAATTGATAATTCCATTGGGCTCTAATTTTGCATACACTGACGCAGCAGATGAGTTTTCAATTTCCAAACAAGTTATTGAAAAGATATTAAAACATAAAGAGTCTTATAGAATTAATTCAATCCAATACTCCACCTTATCAAATTATTTTAAATCTGTTCGAAATCATTATTTATCCAACATTGATGGTCAACATATTACACTTTTTAATAAAGATTTCTTACCCTATACAACAAATAACAACTATTGGACAGGTTATTATTCTAACCAACCCATTTTAAAAAAGGAAATTAGAGATACACAGAATTTATTAAGGAATGTAGAGTCGCTCTATGCATTGGCCACTTTAAAGAATTCTAAAATAGCTCAATTACAGAACCAACTCGAAAATATTAGAAATGAAATCTCTTTGGCCCAAGATCACAACATTATTGCCGGTACATCAAAAGGTTCAATTTTAAAACAATCTTTTCAACGTATACAAAACTCTAGGGTCAATTCATATAATATCCTATCAAATTCATTAGAGCTCATTTTAAAAAACAGTAATGGTTCAAGTAAAGCAATGGCCCCATTCAAATATGAAAATGTAGTCGATATTGACTCTTTAGAATATGATGAATTATATTCAATAGTATTTCATAACTCACTAAGCTGGGACTCTGACCAACATGTTTCAATTAGAGTAAGATCGTCTAATCGAACCTTAATTGATGGGTTACAGTTAATAGATTCTATATCTATGAATCCAGTAATAATTCAAGCTATAAAGATTCAGCCAAAAGGTCTTACTTGTTTTACATCATCATCCAATGACTATTCAATTTATTCCATTATTAATATACCTGCTTTAGGTATTAAAACTTTTTTCCTTAAAGTTAATAGACAATATACAAAGAAGGGTATTCTTTCATCTGAAATGATCATTTCAAAAAAAATTAATGCAACCAAAATTTTAATTTCATCAACATTATTAGAGTTTACTTTCGATCCATATGGTAGACTACAAACTATTAGAAATAGCGATAGAAGTGAAATTAAAAATGTTAGCCTAAGCTTTTCACAATACAAGGCTTCAAAAGGTAGTACATATATATTCAAATCATCAGGTGACAAAGAAGAAATCTTGGTTAAACCTGATAAAGTTATTCACTACGATGGACCATTGTTTACTCAAATAACTCTAATTTATGGTAATAATAGTATGGTCAATTGTAGCCATACCTCAATAATACATCATAGAGCATATAGAAGGTCAATTGAAAGGGACAAGCATTATTACCCCACAGAAAGATTTTTAGAAACAAGTTATTCAATCATGGGTCAGTCAGATACAGAAAAAGTTGTTTCATTTGAAATCAATTCACTTCCAGAGAAACATAATGAGTTTTACACTGATAATGGTATTGAGGCAAGAAGAAGAGAAATTAACACAAATAGAGGATTCTTTCAAAGAGAAAAAAAACTATCGTCTGAAGCAAACTATTACCCAGTGATAGGTTACATCAAAGTCAAAGATACCAGTTTTGTTCCCAAAAAAGATGAATATGATATTAAGGCCTCTTTTAACAAAAATGAACAGTATACAGTTTATGTTGATCGAACACTCGGTGCTACTTTTGGAAATCGTTCAATTGAAATCATGTTACATAGAGCAGTGGGAAATAGTGACCAATCTAGAATCGAGGGTAAATTTTATTTAAATTTTGATTCTATCCAATCTCAAAAACAAGTCGAAAAGAAAACTTCACTTCAAATTGAACACCCACCATTTTATATGGTTAAAAAGATATCAAGTATTTATAAATATAAAAAGAACTATATCATATCCTATAGTCCACTTTCAAAAGAATTACCAGATGATATACATTTACAATCATTTAAAACTTTTTTAAATAATAGAATTGGTTTAAGATTGTTTAATATTAATAATAATGATATGGATAATCAGAAAAATGGCAAATCAAATGAATTTAAATTGTTCGAATCATTAAATATCACAAGTATAAATGAAACTACTTTATCATTTAGTGATTTAAAAAATCATAATAGGGGTAATATATAAAAAAAAAAAACCAATTTTTAAAATTTAAATTTAATATTAATAATATTATTTTTTTATAGGGTTACCATCAACTTTAGATGCTTATTTACCAATAGTATCAGGTGAATCGGAATATCATAATGTTATCAAATCAAAAAACAGATATATATTTAAACAAGATAATTATAAATTTGCAATTAACCAGTTAGAATTTAAATCATTTATAATCGAGAGTGCCACTACACAAAGCAATACTGAAGTTTATTCAAATTTTTCAATTTTTCAACATGATAACAATAGATTTTTATATGACTTTTCAGTTTTACCCATTTTTATTAATTTTCAAGATGATCACAATTTTAAAGCTTATGAAAATACTTTAAAAATCGAAAACGATAGTACCCAAGAGAACTTTTATCTTTTAACACTTACCCTTATAATATTTGTGGTTTTAATAGTTTATTTAACATACAAAAAGAAAGTTAATAATAAATCAGATTAAAAAATAATAATTAAAATAATAACAACAAAATACAATAAAAGTAATAATAAAAATAATAAAAATAATAAAAATAGAATTAACTTAATAAAAAAATACAATAACAATACATTATTATTTTTATTATTATTATTTTCTAAAAACAATTAAATAAAAAATGAAATCTTTGATTAATATTGATATTCTTATTATATTATAGATGAGATAAAAAAAAACAAAAAAAAAAATAGAAATTCTAAACAATAAAACCAAATAAATTATATGGTAAAAATATTTGAATAGTATCAGTACTTTATAACAACAATAAAAATAAAAATCCCCCACACGAACACATATTAGTATTTTTGGTTTTACAAAAAAAACTTTATATATATAAATGTTTATGTGAGTGTGGGAGTGGGGGTTTGTGTGTGCCAATTTAATTCTACAAAAAAACATTATTGTTTTTATATAAATAAAAAGATATATGAATACAAAAACACACACAAACTACACTTCATTGTATCTTATTTAAATTTTTATAATTAAAAAAAAAAAAAAAAAAAAAAAGAAAACAGAAATGTATATGTTTTAAAAACATCATATTATACGATACAATAAAATTTGGGTGAACTGGGTGAACTAAGAATATTTAATTTTATATATATTTGGTATATTTTCTTTTTTAACAAAAAATATACTGGTAAATTTATATTTTTTTTTTTTATTTTTATAATTAAATAAATAATTATTTTTCATTATCATTTATAATTATAAATACTTATTTTTTTATTTTTTTTTTTTGTGTTTTTTTTTATTTTATAATTTATAAAACAATTACCTCCAAATAAAAAAAACATGAAAAAAAAAATATTATTTTTTTTATTTTTTTTAAAAATTGTATTTTTTATAAATTATTTCACATACAATAATAATAATAATAATAATAATGCACCCGATATTGATACAGATAATAGTGCCCAGTTTTTAAATAATATTAATCTTAAAACAAATAAAAAACTATTATCTTATAATAATGAGCCACTAGAGGTGCATCTGATACCCCACTCTCATTGCGATGCATCGTGGTTAAAAACATTTGATGTAAGTTGAAAAAATTTATAAATAATATTAAATATATTAACTTTTTTTAATATTAATAATATAAAAATAGGAATATATGGAGTTCAAGGTAAATAACATACTAACAGGAGTTGTCAATGAATTAAATAATGATATTGAAAAGAAGTTCAATTGGGCTGAAATTGGGTTTTTTAGCAATTGGTATAACAAACAAGATAAATATACAAAAGAGATTGTAAAGAAATTAATAGCTAGTAAACAATTGGAATTTATTTCGGGTGGTTGGGTTCAAAATGACGAAGCAACGGCAAATTTAGATGATGTAATCGAACAAATGACTCAAGGACACATGTGGTTAAAAGATAATTTCAATGTAACTGTGCACTATGGCTGGCAAATTGACCCATTTGGTTATTCATCATTAACTCCAACATTGTTTTCTAAAATGGGTTTCAAAGGTTTAATTATTAATAGAGTTTCAGATTCAGTTAGACAGTACATGAAAAATACTCAACAAATGGACTTTTTATGGAAAGGTTCAGAGACATTAGATAAAGATTCAGAATTAATAGTATCAACACTAGACAGCCACTACAGTTACCCTGATGCTATAAAGCCATCCAATATGTATTTCTATAAAGATAGAGCCAGAATGTTTGCGAACCAATTAAAAAATATAGCAAGAACACGTAATACAAATATAATTCCAATTACATTAGGTAGATACTTGAATTATTAAATTATTTAATTTACTCATATATATAAAATTATTAATTTTAATTTTTTTTAAAAAGGTGATGATTTTAACTATGTATCAGCATCATTTGAATTTTCAAGTAATGATGAATGGATAAATTATATGCAAGAGAATTTGGAAGAGTTTGGGTTAAAAAAAATTGGGTATTCAACATTATCAGAGTACTTTGAAGCATTACAAAATAAATTAATTAGCACAAATACAGCATTACATTTATATAATAAAGACTTTTTCCCATATTCAACTGGCTTTTATCAATATTGGACTGGATATTATTCAACTAGACCTGTACTAAAAAGACAAATTAGAGAGACCAGTGATCTTTTAAGAAACTCTGAATCATTATATACATTTGCAAAGGCACAGTATTCATCCAATTCAATGGCTCAAAAAAGATTTAATTCATTACAAGACTATTTAGAGTTTACTAGAAACGAAGTATCATTGGCACAACACCACGATACCGTTACTGGTACTTCAAGAAATTACGTTTTAAAAGATATTTATGAAAGATTAAAAAATTCAAGAGTAAAGACATATAATGTTATATCAAATTCAATTGAATATCTCTTAAATAAAAATCAAATTCCAGTAAATGAAACATTTGAATACCAAAATGTAGTAGATCTCACTCTTTTAAACAGTCAAGAGGCATACTCTATTGTTTTCCATAACTCTTTAGGATGGTCCACTAAAAAGCATGCTTCCATTAGAATCAAAGCAAACAAAGATCAAGTCAACTCTCTTAAAATGTATGATTTAGCCTCAAACAAATCAATTCCAATTCAAATTATACCACTAAATGACTTGAACAACGAGTGTCAATATCAACTAGACGAGTACATCCTATTTGCAATAGTCAGCATTCCTGCATTGGGTTTGAACACCTATACGCTAAATTTTGAAGAGGATCCATCCAAACAAACTGACTCATTATCAATTGGAAGGGTTTTAGATACCAATTCAAATGTCCCAACATTCGAAACTGATAGATATACCATTACATTCAAAAAAAATGGTCATTTAGAAACTATTTTAGATAAAAAATCTGGTACCCTTAAAAAAGTAAATCAATATTTTAGAGAATACCATACCCAAAGAGGTGGAACTTATATTTTCAACGCTGGTCCCATCGATGAGTACTTGGAATCACCCAGCAGAATCATTTTTTATGATGGACCATTGGTATCGCAATTAACAATTATTTACAACAAAAACTCAACCGATGTTATGGATTGTAATGAAACTTCCATGGTTACTCAAAGAATCTACAAGTGTCCAACTAAAGATGCATCGTTTTTACCCACTGAGAATTATTTAGAAACTGGTTATTCAATTATAGGTGAAATGAATAAAGAAAGAACAATTCATTATAAAGTAGAGTCTGTTTCCAATAGAAATGATGAATTCTTTACAGATAATGGTTTAGAAACAAGAAAGAGAATCCACCAAAAAAGCTCTGTCACATCAAACTATTATCCAACCCTACACTATGTAAACATTAAGGATCAAGATAAAAACCAACAATTTACAGTTTATGTCGATCGTTCAGTAGGTGTAACTTCAACCGGTGGTGATATTGAAATTATGTTCCATCGTACCATCGAGTTTGATGACCAAAAGGGTCTTGGATGGGCCTCAAGAGATTCATCTAGAAGCGATGGCAAATTTTATTTTAATTTTGATTCTATTGACAACCAAAAACAAAATGAAAAAAGAATCTCATTGGAAATCAATCACCCAGTCATGTATATGGCTAAAAAGATTTCAAATTTACAATCATATCGTTCAAATTACAATTCAGAATTTTCACCACTTGCAAAAGATTTACCAGATAACATTCACTTACAATCACTAAAAACCTATTCCAATAATAGAGTTGGTTTAAGATTATTTAATTTCAAAGTCAATGATGATTCGGAACAATCACAACAACCATTAAATATCGACTTATTTAGTTTGTTTAAAACTCGTACTTTTAAAGAAAAAGGTTTATCATTTATGGACTATTCAAATAATAATTTCATTAATGGTAAAATTGGTTAATTTATTTTTAATTTTTAAATAATTAATATTAATATTTTTTTTTTTTAATTTAGATTTCAAAACCAAAAAAGATAATAACTTCCCAATAAAATCAGGGGAATCTGAATATATCTTTAAAAAAAGTAATAATAACAATAACAATAATAACAATAATATTAAAATCAATCCATTGGAAATTAAATCTTATTTTATTGATTTAAATAATAATAATAATAATATTTATAATGACAATAATATAATTTTTAATTCAGTGGTCGTTGATAAATTAGTTGAAGATAGTCGTTATCCATATGATTTTTCAATATATCCAATTTCACTTGCATCTTATGATGATAATGGTAAATATATAATTATTATTACGAAAAACAAAGGATCAAATTATTTTGGTAATATAAGATTACTCTTATATTTATTAGAATTATTTTTCGTTTTATTTATTTTTAGTGTATTAATAGTTCATTTATTAATTAAAAATTTTTATTAAATTTTTTTTTTTCCACATTTATTTTTTATATTATTATTTAATTATAAATAATATTTTAAATAGATTATTATAACTATTAAATAAATATCTTTCTTCAAAAAAATTAACTAATTATATATATATCAGTAAATTCCCCCTCCCCCACATTTTTTATCTGTGGTTTATTTTAAAATTTTTTTATTTTTTTTATTTAAATAATTTTAAAATAGTATCTATCGACTCTTTTTTTTTTTTTTTTTATAATTATAGTTGTTATAAATAAAAATAAAATAATTATAATAATATTTTTATTATAATATATAAATGAAATTAGGTAGAGTCTTGTTTATTTTAATTTTTATTAAACTTTTTTTTTCTATAAATTCATATATCATTAATAATAGTAGTGATGATAAAATTAATAATTTCAAAATAACAAAAATAAAAGAAGAAGGATATAAAATATTTATAATACCGCATAGTCATTGTGATAATAGTTGGTTAAAAACAAAAGAGGTATGTAATAAAAAATTAATAAAAAAATAAAAAAAATATTAATAAAAATATTAAAGGAATATTATAATGGTACAGTGCAGTATATTTTAACAAGTGTTATTAAAGAATTAAAGAATGATCCAGAAAAGAAATTTAACTGGGCAGAAATAGGGTTTTTCTATGAATGGTATATCAATCAAGATAATTCAACACAAGAAATTGTAAAGCAATTGGTTTTAAACAAACAATTTGAATTTTTAACTGGTGGGTGGGTTCAAAGTGACGAAGCAACTGTAAGTTTAGATGATGTTATAGATCAAATGACACAGGGTCATATGTGGATAAAAGATACTTTTAATGTTACAGTTCAATATGGGTGGCAAATTGACCCATTTGGTTATTCATCTTTAACTCCTACATTGTTTTCAAGAATGGGGATAAAGGGCCTAATTATAAATAGAATATCTTATAATGTAAAAAACTACATGAAGAAAAAGAGAGAAATGGAATTTTTATGGAAAGGCTCAGAAACATTAGACACCGATTCTGAATTGTTAATTTCGACACTAGACAATCATTATGACTATCCCGAAATGTTGAATCCAAAAAACAAATATCCAATTTCCCAAAGGGTAAAGAAATATTTAGAGTATTTGGAACAAATATCAAAAACAAGAATTTCAAAAACTATACTATTACAAATTGGCGACGATTTTACTCATTATAATGCAAAAAAGGATTTTTCAGCTTCTGATGAATGGTTATCTTATATCAAAGAAAGAAAGGAGGAATATGGAATAAAAGAAATAAAATATGCAACACTCTCGGAATATTTTGAACAACTAAAAAAAGATATTGAATCTGAAAACATCAAACTAAATGTATTTAACAAAGATTTTTTCCCTTATGCAACATCTGAAAAGGAATACTGGACTGGATATTATACAACAAGACCAACTTTAAAAAGACAAATAAGAGATGTTGGTAATTTAATACGAATATCAGACTCAATGTTTTCAATATTAAATATCAAAAACAATATTACTGTGTCAAATAGTTTGTATCAAGACTTGAATGAAAATAGAAATGTATTATCAGATGCTCAACACCATGATACAATAACTGGAACTTCGAGAAGCTATGTTTTGTTTGATTTTTTTTTAAAATTGGAAAAAGCAAGAATTAGCTCATATAATATAATTTCAAATTCTTACAACTTATTAAACAACATTTCAAATAGTGAACCATTGCAATATCAAAATATAATTGATTTAGACGATTTAAAAGATGAATACTATTCAGTGGTATTTTTCAATTCTCTAGGGTGGTCAGTTAAACAGCATATTTCAATAAAAATAAAAACAAATAATACCATAGCCCTTTCTCAAATTTCACTATTAAACTCAAACCTATCAATAATATCAGATATTCAAATAGTTTCTTTAAATTATAAAAATAGATGTTTTGAAAACGACGATTTGTATTTATTATTTGCAATTATAGAAATACCACCAATGGGATATTCAACATATTATTTAAGCTTAAATGAAAATAAAAGTAACAGCAATCAAATAGTACATGGTAAAATAATATACTTCCCAAATAATTTAGTTTTCAAGACCAAAGAAATAGAATATGAATTTTCGAGGAATGGATATTTAAAATCAATTAAAAACATTAAATCAAACAAAATGACTTTAATTAATCAAGCATTTTACCAATACCAATCAAAAGAAAGTGGACCATATATTTTCAATGCTGGTACTATAGAAAATACTTTGAAGAAGCCAAGCTATTTTATACTCTATGAAGGATCTCTTGTTAATCAGCTTACCATGGTATTTGACTCTGGTGATTGTGGTACAATTTCTATGGTTAATCAAAGAATATACAATAATCCAAACCTCAATGAACTATCTTTGATAACAGAAAAATATTTAGAAACTAGCTATTCTTTTACTGGTGAAATGAATAAAGAAAAAATTATTAGATATAAGGTAAAGTCATTTTCAAGTAATAACAATGAATTCTATACAGACAATGGTTTAGAAACAAGAAAAAGAGTTTACCGAGAAGGTTCAACATCTTCTAACTATTACCCCACTCTCCACTATGTAAATATCAAAGATAAATTAAAAGATGAACAATATACTCTTTATGTAGACCGTTCCGTAGGTGTAACATATCCTTCAAAAGGTGAAATCGAAATAATGCTTCATAGAACAATGGAAAATGATGATTGGAAAGGTGTTCAATGGCCCTCAAAGGATATATCAAGGATTGATGGTAAAATATATTTTAATTTCGACACTATTGAAAACCAAAAACAACATGAAAAGAAACTATCATTACAAATAGATCACAACCCAATTTATTTGATTAAAAAAATATCAAATATAAAACAATTAAAAAATAACCCTATTCAACACCAATCACAATTTATATTAAAAGATTTACCAGATAATATTCACTTACAATCATTAAAAACATATTCAAACAATAGAATTGGTCTTAGACTATTAAAAATTAATCAAGATAATAACAATAACAATCACTCTACATATTTAAATTATATAAAAGTTAACCCAAACCATTTAGTTGAAACAGGGTTATCATTTTTAGAAATATCAAAAGATAATTTTTTAAATATTTCAAAAAATAATTTTAAAGATAATAATTTTCCAATCTACTCGGGCCAATCTGAATATATTTACAAAAAAACATATCAAAATAATACAAATCATTTTTACCCATTAGAAATTAAATCATTCATTATAAATTTAAATAATAATAACAATAATAATAATAATTTAAAGGTATATAATTACAATAACCATTTTACTTATGATAAAAATAATATTTCAATATATTACCAATACGATTTCTCAGCTATACCTTTAGAGTTATCGCATTATAATGATATAGGTCAATACAAACAAAAAAGTCATATTTGGAGGAACTTATTTATTATATTAACCCCAACTATTCTTTTAGCAATAGGAATAATAGTATATATAAAATATAATCAAAGATTTATTTTTAAAGAAAAATCAGAATATATAATGCTCAATACAATAGACTATTCAATATAAATCAATAAATCAATAAATCAATATAAAAAAATTAATAAATAAAAGAATTAATAACCATTTTATTACTCTTTTTAAGTATTTCTTTAATTACAATTTTTTTATTCTTTATTATTTAATTGCTATATAATTTATTGTACTTTTCTGCGCAATTTTTTAAAGTTTCGTCACCTAATCTATAAGTGGTCCATTCATTCATTGGTTTAGCGCCTAAACTTTCATAAAAGTCTTTTGAACTTTGATTCCAATTAAGACAAGCCCATTCTACTCTTCCATAACCTTTATCATAGGCAATTTTAACTAAATTTAAAAGCATTTTCTTTCCATAACCACGACCTCTATATTCTGGTTGAACATATAAATCTTCTAAATAAATACCACATTTACATAAAAATGTACTTTTAAAATGAAAAAAATTAGATACTGTTTTTTTATTTTTTAAAAAAAAACTATAAACTTACCTATAATTTAAAAATGATAAAGTATAACCAATAATTTTTTCGTTTAACCAAGCACAATAAATTGTAATGACTTTTTCATCAAAACATGCTTTTTCCATATCTTTGTAGTCACCAACAACTTCATGTTTTAATTTTTCGTATTCTGCTAATTCGAGAATCAAATCGAATACTTTCTTCATATCTTCTCTTGTGGCTGGTTTAATTTCAAAAGTGTCTTGTTGAGTTGGCTCCATTTTAAAAAGGTATTTTATTTTTAGTATATTTAAACAAATGCAATAATTAAACAAAAAAATGAAAATGAATTCGGTAAAGTTTTTAAAATTACAAAAAAATAAAAAAAATAAAAAAATAAAATTAAAAAAAAATAAAATATTTTTTAATTTTATTTTTAAAAAATATATTTTAGAAACAGATTTAAAATTTTTTTTTTTTTTAATTATATAAAATATTTAATTTTATTTAGAAATATTATCGTTTTGACCTTTTACTACGTACATTTTTTTCTTTTGATCATTTTGATTATTTATATTATTATTTATATTATTATTATTTATATTATTTATATTATTATTATTCATATTATTATTAATACTTTTTCTTTTATAATGATCATTTTCACCTCCTTGTCTTCTATTTGATTTAATATTTCCACTACTATTATTTAATTTATTTCCACGATTTTCTTTTGTTGGTTGTGGTTGTTGAGTTTGAGGTTGTTGGGTTTGAGGTTGTTGAGTTTGGGGTTGTTGAGTTTGTTGGGTTTGGGTTTGTTGAGATTGTTGGGTTGGAGTTTGTTGGGTTTGTTGAGATTGTTGGGTTTGGGCTTGAGGTGATTGTTGTGGTTGGGATGATTCGGTTTGAGTTTGTTGGGATTGTGAGGAAGTTTTTGGGTGTGGCTCTTGACTTTGTTGAATCTCATTCCAGTTGATTGGATTGGCCCATGGGACAACCTCTGGTTGCTTTGGTGTAGAAGAGGCAGGTGAGTCTTGTGGAGTATTTGGTTGTGATTGCTGCTGTGTTTGTTGTTGTTGCTGTTGTTGTTGTCAGGTCGTTGTTGTTGTTAAAGTGGTAGTTGTTGTTGTGGT